TCCGGTTGAAAATTGTATGCTACCACCGAATATGAGTACTGAAGCAGTTTTTCTGAAGCCACGTGCACCATTCAAACTAGCTGCCTTCAACGTTCGCACACTTATGCAGGTTGGACAACAGATAGGGCTGGCTATGTCTTTGGAAAGTCTTAATATCGACGTTTTTGTCTATCCGAGACCCGTATTCAAGACTCTGGTGAAGTACTACAAATTCGATCTCCATCTGTCGCTTCGAAAAGCTTGTTTTACGTGCGCTTATCCGGGGACCCTGTGGCATCTTCGTCTGGTCTTGCTGGCGTTGGTGTCGCACTAAGCGCTAGAGCTGAGGCAGCACTAGTCGATTGGATCCCCATTAACAGTCGGTTATGTGCTGTTAGATTAGAAAGTTCCATCAAAGTGAGAAACGATGTCTTTTCGTCATCTCCGCCTATGCCCCGACAGATTGCAGCCCGGATGCAATCAAGGATGAGTTTTACCACCAGTTATCTGTTCTTCTCCAGAAAGTGCGTTCGACAGATATTGTAGTACTAGCCGGAGACTTGAATGCTCAGGTCGGGCGTCTAGGCACAGAAGAGAGTCGTTTAGGTGGCCGATGGGGACTTGTTGGTCGCAGGTCAGATAACGGGGACCGTCTACTGCAACTGTGCACAGACCACAACCTGTTTCTGGCTAGCACTAACTTTCGGCACAGTCATCGCCGATGTGCCACCTGGCGTCCTCCCTCTGCATCTCAAGCCTGGACTCAGATTGATCACATCGCGATCAGCTACCGCTGGCGTGGTTGTGTACAAGACTGCCGCTCCTTTTGGAGTACCTATCTGGACTCTGACCATGCCTTGGTCTGCGCCAATCTTACCTTACTTTTCAGTGGACAACGAAGTGACGCCACCAACGGATTGATGTTAGCAAGCTGGTTGCAACTTCTGTTGCAAGTAAGTATCGAACCGAGCTAGCCTCTAGGCTAGCTACCACTCCACCGAAAAGTATAGATGAGCATTGGTTGCAATTGCATGACGCCATGAAAATGGCGGGAACAGTCAGTTGTGGGTTTGCGAAACGTCCCGCTTATAAGCACTGGGTTTCTTCTGGTTCCTTACAACTCATTGAAGCCCGTCGGTCTACTCCGGGTGACCGTGAGTTTGACCATAAACGAAGGATGTTACGTAAGGAAATTGGGCAAAGCTTGCGTAAGGACCGAGAAGCCTGGTGGTCGGAGCGTGCTAATGAGCTGGAAGCAGCAGCTGCATCTGGTAACTACCGGAAGCTCTTTCAACTCATCCGAGCCACTGGCAGCAAGAAGTCTGGTGTGAGTGAAACAATCTGCGAGGATGATGGGATGCCAATCACTAACATCCATCGACGTCTTGGACGATGGGCAGAATTTTTCGAAGGGCAGTTCAACTGGCCTGCTGCTCCGGCAACATCGGTCAGACTGTCCTGCCCTCCATGGCCGGTGACGACTGATCCACCAAATGAGGAGGAAGTCCGCAAGGAACTCCAACTCTTGAAGCGTTACAAATCACCTGGCCCAGATGACTTACCTCCGGCTCTTTTTAAAGATGGTGGTGACTTTTTGACTAAGGAATTGACGACGTTGTTTACAAAGGTTTGGGAACTAGAGAGTGTACCAACGTCATGGAATGAGTCGATAGTTGTCCCTATCTTTAAAAAGGGTTCACGTCGTTCCTGTAACAACTATGGGGGATAAGTTTACTTCCGATTGCGTCCAAGCTATTGGCTTCCGTCATACTTCGTAGGTTGTTCAAAACCCGAGAAAGATTGACTCGCGAGGAGCAGGCTGGGTTTCGTTCTGGTCGAGGATGTATTGATCATATCTTCACCCTCCGCCAAATGTTAGAACACCGCCATACTTATCAAAGGCCAACAATCGTAGTGTTTCTTGACATCAGGGCTGCCTTCGATTCGTTGGACAGGACTGTTCTCTGGGATTGTCTATTGAAGAAGGGTGTGCCTGAGAAGTTTATTAACATCCTAAAAGCCCTATATACAAACACCTCAGGCAGAGTGAGGGCATACAACCACCTTTCTCCATTGTTCCATTCGAGCAGTGGGGTTAGGCAGGGTTGCCCAATCTCACCATTCCTCTTCAACTTTGCCATCGATGACATTCTGGAAACAGCTCTGATGAATGTAAGTAATGGTGGTGTGGATCTGTTGCCTGGAGAAAGACTTCTCGACCTTGAGTATGCGGACGATATTGTCTTACTGTGCGATAATGCCCAAGGCATGCAATCCGCACTTAATCAGTTGGCAATCAGTGTCCGTAGGTATGGTATGTGCTTTGCACCTTCGAAGTGCAAAGTACTTCTACAAGACTGGCAGGATCCTAATCCTGTACTCACCCTGGATGGTGAGCAGATAGACGTAGTTGAGAAGTTCGTGTATCTGGGTAGCTGCATAAGTGCTGGTGGTGGTGTGAGTGATGAGATCAATGCACGTATGGTGGAAGCCAGAGCGGCTTATGCCAATCTGGGCCATCTTTGGCGCCTTCGTGATGTTAGTCTGGCTGTAAAAGGTCGGCTCTACAACGCGTCGGTGAGAGCAGTTTCGCTTTATGCTTGTGAACGTTGAAGGTAGCTAGTTTGAATGGTGCACGTGGCTTCAGAAAAACTGCTTCAGTTCTCATATTCGGTGGTAGCATACAATTTTCAACCGGACAGTGACTCGAGAACGTTTAGATAGAGTCGAATTTCTACCATAGACGAGCTGCTGTATAAGTCAAGAAAGTAAGTATAGACGGAGTAGAAATAAAAGAGGATGAATAATGATGTAGTAAATAATAATAATAATAATAATAATAATAATAATAATAATAATAATAATATTTTGAATCATTTAACTGTTAATTGAAGCAAGAAAAGTAGTTTCACGACTCTCTGGTTATGATCCGAAAGATGGTGCAACACAGTGGCTAGAGACGTTGTCAGATGTGGTTCAGAATAGAAGCCAGTGTCGATCCTGGTGTAACCTTCTTTTACTTTCTTCATAAAAAGTGGTTTTATCTTCCTTAACTGGAAGATTTCTTCTGATTTTACCTTTCCGTTTCCTCCATTATTACTATAACTATTATTATTATTATTATTATTATTATTATTATTATTATTATTATTATTACAGTACCTTACAGTAATCTGTTCGTTATTGTTCTTTTTTCCACTCTCATATCTCACAGTTCGTTTGTATGTGGGTGTTTGGTAATACACATTTGACATACGACTTGATGTGTTCTATCACATGATTGTGACTTGCACAAAAAATACGATACATGTTGTACTTTTCACGTTTCGCGGGAAAAATTTCAAGGCCATTGTTCCACTTATAACGTGAATATGCGTTAATATGTGAAATTAAAACATGTGATTCTTAAAGGCTTAGTTCACCTGCAAGACATTCAAATAAGATATATGCATTTACAATAGTAGTAATATTCGGTAATGAATTTATTTCTACCTATTCCACGTGATTTTCATCTGTTTGATGTTGTCCCTGAAACTCATTTTCGCCTGTTCAGTCAACCTCAAGCAATATTCATGTAATTTTTTTTATCATTAAATGATTGGTATGAAAGCGTGTTAGGTAACGTTTAGTACTGATTACCATGGTTTCTATAAAGACCTGAAACACTTGTGTTGAGATTCCTCGAGAAGTCATCGGTAGTGTCTTTAGAAGCTAGGGGAAGACTGAAAATGTTTTATTAAAACAAGCAACGAATAGAAATTTCCTGCAAACCTCTAGAAAAACCATCGATTATGTCATATTTTGGTTGAATAATTACCTATTTTGTTACTAATTTTATTTCAGAAGCTTTCAAAATATCAAGGTCATCCATGAACCCATAAATATTCGTGCTTTTTTACATTAACCTACCATGGAACTAAAGCTTTTTTTCATACTTGTCCCCTATTTTCTTCCGTTTTGTGTTCAATTGTTGGAGGTCCTGGGGAAATAGAAAATGGTTATAAGATATTATCAACCATTTAGGTACCAGACTAATACAACATTGAAATGAGAGAAACGGATTGCTTGGATTGTTATACTTTCCTTGTCGTCATCCCGTAATTATAGGAACAGTTGTATGATCTTTCTTTAGTCCAACTATCGATTAGTTTGTTTATACTGTCAGTAGGACCAGTGACTTTCTATTTAGCAACCGATACAGTGACCAATAAACAACAACCAAGACCTTCATTCTTATGGTAGAACTATGATTTTTGGATGAACCAACCAGATCTCAAATAGCACCTCCTGAGTTGTAGCACGAAATTCATTCGCTGCTATGGTCAAATATCAGTCCTAGTCCCTCACATTGATTCACAACTCCCTTTCGAACCTAGTAAGTGTTTGAAGTTTCTAAAGGTGATTTTAGTGTTGCTCAGAAGTCGTCCATAAATTTTAGTTTTCCCATGCTTATCGGTCCTTGAGCTCCTTTTAACTCAGTTTCCAATTAGAAGACAGATAGGTAGCCGATTAGTTCTTTATTTTATTCAGTACTGACTCGAAGCTTATACAATAACGTACCTGAAATACCTAAATACACAGCAACATATTTGGGAAATTACAGTATTCACTTAGTCTAGTCATAAGTCGTAAAAAACCATAATACTGGGGAATTGAGCAATTAACGATAAATCTGAAATAAGATATATATGACAATGACCTATGGGTCAAACGAAAGCTTAGTAATATCAAAATATAAATATAAAACAATCTAAGCGTCTGCTAATTTAACGATGAATATATAAATAATAATCCTACATATTGTAGCCCCAAAAGTTATATCTCCATACTGTTTGCCATATTATATCACAGCTTAAGTTGCTAACCGTTCACTTGCAGGTTGAGTTATTACAATAACAACGTAAATTCATATTTTTAATGGGAAGAAAATATCTTAGTTTTCTCTTTTAAACATTGGACAATAAACTATAAAGTTAAGTTCAGTAATCCTCTTTTAAATCCCCTTTTGCCTATTTTTCTAGTTGATGTTTCTGTGTTGAATCATAATGAACAAGCTGTACAGTCTCATAATGATGTTAATATTACAAAACAGCTTGGACCAAACACATTTTTATCATGTTTACTTATCATTTACATTAGTGCATCAAATTATGGATTTCTACCAGCCATACAATCTTATTCATGTGCTGCGTATGGCTCGCTTACATATCATTTAGCAGTTACACTGTCAGGATCATTCTCTGCTGCAATGACAGTGTTAACTACATTTCTTGTCAATCATTATTCTAGGGAAATAGATAGTACTGATGAATCAACATTCGAAAATTTGCAAACTATGAACCATGAATTAAATGAACAGAATCAAATTTGTTACATACAAAAACCTGACATAATTATGCATAATGCATATACGCGTTCACTTCAAAATAAATGGATTAGTATTTCACTCATCTCTTTGATACCTGTTGCTTACGTTATATATTTGGCGAGTTCAAGTCCCAATCCACCATATTTGGGTGGTTTCGGTTCTGCCAGTGCTGTACGTTACGTCTTGGTCTTATTCTTTTTTTTCTGTTTATTTTAATGAATTATTTTCAAATTATAAGGCTTCCCAGTCATAGTCAATAAAAATGTGTTAGTTCTTTATCAACACCTAGTGTAATTACAACCTGATGAAATACGAGTTATATGTAGATTTGATTTTTATCCCCAATTGTGAAAAATGGATAGAAATTAAATATCTAGATTATTGAAAAATCTCGTTCCACCTATATCAGTTTAGGCAACCGGATAGCAGCATTAACCCGTCATACTTAGTGTGACTTCTACTAAAATACCTGGTGAGTGGGTTCATTTACTTTATTTGTAGAAAAGACTAGAAATCTAATCATATTTATTAAGATCTCAGTGATTGAATCCAAATAATTTCTTCGCTTAATGATAAATAGAATCACAAAGATAAATCTGTACCAAATAATTAACTAGTCATCTTCATATATCGAATCTTTTTGTTGGAGTTTCGTTCTCTGAGCTGAATGGTTTGGTCGTGGAGCTTTCCTTTTTATTCTGAACAATCTAATCAGCTCAAACTTTAGGTAGAAGTGAAGTATTGAATCTTTTTGATGTGAAGATGTTATCTAAGAAACGCATCGCTGGTCCGAACTACTCTGTTTCAATCACTTAGATTTCTACAAATATAATTTCATTCCTAATAACCAACAAATACCACTTGTACTTAAAAATTTCGATAAATGTCTATGCTTGCTTAGTACAAAACAATATTTTACCATTTATTTGATCACTATATTATGCGACCTTATTTTTTCGTATACTCATTCTCTATCCATGATTGAACGTAGCTCATTTCTGTTAATATCACGACCAATTTAATATCAAACGGAAATACATTTTATGATGCATCGAGTTTTTTGGTGAATTTTAACGTACAATAGGACTTTTTGCAATGGGTGGTTAATTCTTTTTTATCTTATCTGTCAATCAATACATCCATGTATGCATATTGATTGTTGGTGTTGGACCATGAAATTGTTGTTCTAATTCATCTAAATGGCCTGTTTTAATGATTGACTGTAAGACAAAAGTCGTTTTTCGAAATGTCAAGAAGATAAAAGAAAGCTTGACTATGTGATGATGGTGACAGTGCGATTAATGGAAGTTTGAGGTAATTAAATGTATGTCAAGTCACCTTGGTATACTAGTTCAAATAGGAAGAATTGAACCTCAGGGTGTTCGGATGAAAACGTTATATTAATCTACAGGAACTGTACAAAGAACTGTTGGTTTTGTTATTAGAGTTCTTGAGATTCCGGAAATCTACTTTTGAGACTAGGGTTAAAATTATTAAGAACTTTTCAGTATCAGTGCAATTATGTTAATAACTGATCTACTCGTAAGTTCTGAGCATATATATTATTAATTTGTTTTTTTCTAGTTTATTATTGCTACCGCTATTATCATCTTAACCCGTTTGCTTAACTTATCTATACTGTTTGAAGTGGGGCCACTTTGATCAATGCTTAACTGCCTGACTCTCTGTAATATTACTGGTTAGAGTATCTGTTCCATTATCAATGTAGTTAGGGATGCTTGGTGATACGGGACATCACTTGGTCGTGAACACTAAGCTATCAAATAACTAAGGATTGTTCCTATAATTTGATCAAACGTGCAAAATACTGTAATACATAAGTGATTTTTACACTAGATTATTTATTGTCTTCTAAATCCTATAGATCCTGGCTTGGATTGCGATACGCTGTTTATTTGCCAGTTTGCGCACATGGATATGGATGAGTTTGTCTAGCCATTCCCATAGACCAACGCGACTCAGATTAGCTGGGTTATCTACACAATTCGGAGCAGCACTCGGTGCAATTTTAGGCTTCATATTAGTTGTTTATTTTCAGCTATTTAAAAATAAACTACCTTGTCTTCAAGTGTAATTTTTATTGAAACTCATGTAATAATGTCTTTCATACTTCAACATATTTATGTATAGATCATATTTCAGAAATGGCAAAAATACATTATTGTTGATTACTTAGCTAGTATTTTTAAAGACTAATTTCTGTGTATTTATGAATACTAATTTATTGTAGGTATCTTATAATATTTTCGTAATTATATACTGTTTATCTGTGACGACTTGTCATTTTTCAGGGCTTCACTTATACATTGCTTGATTTGCAACTACGAAGCAGTAAATTTATTGGTCAACATGTTAGCTGTTGAATTTTGTTCACGAAAAGATTTGACGGTCATTCTGAAAATTAGCTACAGGTTTTGTATGAAATTCAGGCAATGAATGAAAGAAAAATTTCAGAGGTGAAAGTAGGTAGCCGCAAACAAACAATTGTCCAGTAAGCATAGTAAGGAAACATGAGCTACTTATGATAATATCTATTCACAAGTTGAATGAAGAATTGATATATAACGAACAATGTTGTAAGCAAAGGTGGATGGTGGCTAGCAGTGGGATCCAGGACGCGCGTTCCTTCCTACTTCGGACCCGTCAGTTGAATGTACCTGCATTTCAGAGTTGATGATCGTTCAGGACTCAAACTCAGCACCGTTCCCTTCAAGCGCCATCGTCTTATCCACTTTACTACTGAGCTCTGATAGCCACTAGCTTGTGAAATGGGTTGAGTTTTCAATTCAATTTTGTATTCGTACAGGATACACATGTGCCAATAATTGGCTGATCAATTGCAGTCCTAAACATCGATGGAAAGATTCAATTAAACAATAAAAAATAAATTGAAACAATGCTATGTTGATGTTTATGAACAAATGAAGACAACGAGTGTAGCAGCAGCCCCTGCATCAGTAGGCCTCAGTATACACAAGGGAAAAAGCAAGATCCTGAAATACAACACGGAAAGCATCAACCCAATCACACTTGATGGAGAAACTCTGGGAGAGGTGGAAACTTTCACGTACCTGGACAGCATCATCGATGAACAAGGAGGATCCGATGCAGACGTGAAGGCACGGGTTGGCAAAGCAAAGCCAGCATTTCAACAATTGAGGAACATGTGGAACTCTAAACAACTGTCAACCAATATCAAAGTCAGAATCTACAATACGAACGTCAAGACTGTCCTACTGTACGGAGCTGAAACTTGGAAAACTACTACAACCATCATCAAAACGGTGCAGGTATTTAGAAACAATTGTCTATGTAAGATACTTAATGTTTGTTGACCGGAAAGCATCAGCAGCAGCCTACTGTGGGAGAGAACAAACCAGCTTCAGCTGAAAAGGAAATTATGAAAAGACGCTAGAAGTGGGTATGACATACATTATTGAAATCATCAAGCTGTATCACTAGGCAAGCCCTAACTTGGAATCCTGAAGGGAAGCAGGAAAGAGGAAGGCCAAAGAACACATTACGCTGGGAAATGGAATCAGATATGAAAAGGATTAACAACAACTGGAGTGCAGGAAAGGATTGCTCAGGACCGGGTTGGATGGAGAATGTTGGTGAGTGGCCTATTCTGCTTCACGAAGGATAAGAGGCATAAGTGTGTTTATGTTCAAAGACAACAATTTTCAAGGTTAGACTGTTGAGTATCTGTCATATTTACTGTGTGTGGGTGTGGCAAATTCATGATATTCCTAAAGTCTGGCACGCTGTTTAGCAGTGAAATTATCCAACGACTTGAGTTCAAACTGGAACTCATCAAATACCATTTCATTTGTGTAATATGCATAAATTCCGGTACAGTTGGATATCAAAAATAAATAGATAATATTCTGAAATGAAATCAAAAGAATAAAACTAAAATAAATAACAAGATTTCCTGGGTAGAATCGATTTATTCTCTTTCGAAGCTTCTCCTCAGTTACAAACGGCCTAAATTTACGAAGAGTAATATGATGAGAAAGTTTTGATGCACATCAGTTAATGAACTAGATATAGGTGTTTGAAGCGGATCTGTAAATCATGAGAATCGTAAGAAATTGCGAGAAATTTGTTAGATAGTTAGAATCTTTGCGTAATTTTAGCTTGTAGAAAAACATGGAAATAATTGGTAACTTTGCACAGCTACGCAAAATACCCTTTCGCATGTACAGTAATTTCGTCCATCATGCTCAAACCAGCACTCACGAACTTTCCGACTACTAATGAATCACTGCAGCATTATTGTGCAAACATCGGTTCCTGCCAGTTTTGTTAAAGTGATTTGCATTTAAAAAGTACATGCCGTACACTAACTTACAGCTTATTAAATGTGATTTAGATACGTTGCGTATAACCGCATAAAAAGGTCATTCGCCTACCGGAGGTCCGAAAGTTTCCAAGTTACGTTTCTACACCACTGTCATGTACTTCCCTCAGAGTTGTTTTCAGAATGTAGTCGATGGCAAAGTTGAGAAGTGGTGAGGTCAGGCGACCGTGACTGTATGTCCTCTATATGCAAACCCTTTAAGAGGTCAAAAAAGCCTCTTCAACAAAAAAAAATCAAGAGCAACCTTGATATCAACAAACCCAACATTTGTTGGTTTTTTAGGAAGTATGACAGTGCTCGAACATTTGGTGGAGAGTGACGCTTTTATTCCAGGACCTTTAGTAATTTTGTATGGTTTGATGAAGTCTTGAGACTATATTTTGTTGATAGTTTTTTATGAACCATCCATTTATACCTACCAAAACGACCGAAGTCCTCATGAACACTTCAGTCCTCCAAATATGTTTTGCATTGTTAGGTTTTAATGACATGGGGTTTATTTATTGAGATCCTAGCACTCATTATATGCTGTTAGTTTTCCCATAGAACATATCAACCTAAATGAATTATAAGCAAAGATGGATAGTGGCTAGCAGTGGAGTCCAGGACGCGCGTTTTGTCCTGTTTGGGACTCGTCAGCTGGATGTACCTGCATCTCAGAGTTGATGTTCACTCTGGGACTCGAACTCAGTACTGTTCGCTTCAAACGCCATCGCGTTATCCACTTAGCTACTGAGTCCTGACAGCCACCTGGTTGTGCAATGGGGTGAGGTTTAATTCACTTGATATTGTTTTACTTGAATCTTCCCATTGATGTTTTAGGACTGAAATTGATCAGTCTCTTATTTCAAGTAAAACAATATCAAGTGAATTAAATGAAGTATAGTTAAAGGCGTACCTGTAGTTCACTTGGCGAAAGTAATAAAGCTTATAAATTTAGTAGTGACTTTTACTTTTATTTTCCGATAATCTGTAGACGTTTCTATAGTGTCTTTTCTAACTACACATAAGGCGCTTAAGTTGACAGATTATAAACGACAAAGTGCAGGGTTCTGTAGTGTAACGGACTCCATAGTTTAGGCAAACATCCTGGATACCCTTGATTTTTCCGTGCGAATTGATGGACTGTACGTTTAGATTGGTGCGATCCAAAATTAGCCTCACTTTCTATAAATAAATATTCCTCCTAGTATCCATTAATTTTTTGCAAAGGTCAGTCAGTTAGCTATAACGCAGGACCAGGTACATATATGCATCAGTCCAAGCTGCCACACCTCATTAGCACAAGATGAACATCAAATTTATAGATGTAGTTACTTCAATGGTAGTATATAAAAGACTGTGTATAAGGAAATACAGGGTGAAAGAATTAGTTCGTAGAAAGAACGGCATAAAGTTGGTGTGTGGGAATGATTAGTTATTTGCTTAGTCAGACTTGTAGACAGTCTGAAAGGTATTTGGTGAGTTATATATTCTTCACCCTTAATATTATTGTTGTCAGCCTTTGATGTGGAAATATACTGACGTTCTAATCAGGCTAATCACATGTTCTTGGTCTGAGTTTTGTTGAAGTCCTGTAAAATGGACACTGGGAGGGAATCTAGTGTAGATATTCGTCTAAGGTAAATTAACATCCATTTGTGTAGACGAAAACCGAAAGTTATAACGAAAGTAATTTTAATCTCATGGTATACACTCACTCCAGTGATAGATTTTTAGCTATGTCACACAGTCTCCAACCATTGGTTACGACAGTCACGCGGACCCCAACCAAGTAGTTTGCATCTACCAACATGGCTCAAAACAGAAGTTAGTGACTTCGAAGACTAATGCCATATTTTGTTTTGGCCGCCCCTAACTTTCTTCCAACCATCCCTAACACCGGTCAGTTTTCAGGCATACGTAACACGTGGCCCAACCATCTCAGTCGATGAAGATTTACAACATCATCAATTGATTCACCATCGTTCCCTAATGCTACGCGTCTAACTTCACTATTACTTACCCGGTGATCCTAGCAGATGCGAGCAATATTTCTAAGACATCTGTGGTCAAATACTAGTAGCTTACGAGTATTTTCTACTCTTAATTGCCACGTTTCGCAGCCGTAAAAGTAGTAAAGAACGTTTTGCAAAGGTAGGAGTAACAAGTGTTTAAGTACGCAGAAGTCTATGGTAAACTGATATACGCATGAACCAGCTTTCGGCAACTAAGCGCCTTACTTCACAACGAGAAAGAGATTAATGATTGCTTCATTGGACGAACGAAAATTGCAAACCCGTCAGTATCTTCGTATAAAAGAACAATGTATGATATAAATAAGTAGAATGGGTTTATTCAACATTACAAGTTTCAGAACATTTATTGACTTAAACTCAAATGTTAACACAACTGAAATGCTTAATTCCTAAAATCATACTGACGACAAGTCGGAAACATGCAGTGGTAGAGAGTTCATAGTTTCAGCCACCTCTGCAAGCAATGCTGGTGAACATGTTTAATTCCTTGGGTTCCCTTGTTCGCTTCTTAGTGTCACTTCGATATTCTGTTTCATTATGATGAAATTTTGTTATTTTACGTAACTCATTAAATGTTTATCATCACATTTTGGAACCGTTTTAATGTTAGTGTGTAATTTCTAGCTTGTTAACATTTCTCTATTATAAAACACCAATTCACTTTATTTGAAGTCTTTTGTATATATCAAAATTCTGTGTAAATTTGTATTTGCGATCAATTTTGCTGTTGGTTGGAATTTTTAGCTTTTCGTAATTAATCATAGTTAAAGTCATGTTAAGATATTAATAATCTGTTAGAGATCACTGAAGATGGTGATCGTTGGTACTACGACACACAGCTGTTCATCATTCAACCATCGGTAACACTATCTTGGGTAAGGTATTAGTATGATTTTTGAGATCGTAACTCATTAAAAACCTTGCTTTACGGCCAGTAAACGTTGGTCTATGAGGTTCTCAACATAACACCTAATTACCTTTTTACTATCTAACCACGGCCCTCCGACTTCGTCTTGTAAAAAAACAACACGTACACCACAAACTGATAATGGGTTTTTCTTATCCAATTTACTTTATCACACCATATAACGCTATCAAGTGATCTATGAATAAGTATTTTAATGACAAACTTCAGCAAAAATTCAAAGATTTCTCACACTTGACCCCAGGTTGTTGGATGCCTGGATCTCAGGATCCTTTCGAATATATACCTAAAGCGGACAACCGGACATTTGAAATCAGTTTCGCTTGTTGATGATGACGGGTTATCTGCGATAATATGGAATACATCATACCAGAAAATTTCTCATTTTTTAAACTCTCCCTAGTGGGTTGGTGTCTGACGAAATCTCAGCACGGATTCGAAAAGCTCGTTTGGCTTTTGCCAACTTACGTCACCTATGATGAAAGCGAGATATCCGTTCATCAATAAAAGGACGAGTATACTGCGCGGCAGTCTGTTCTGTTTTAATTTACGGCAGCGCAAGATGGCCATTAAGAGTAGAAAATACTCGTAAGCTACTAGTATTTGACCACAGATGTCTTAGAAATATTGCTCGCATCTGCTAGGATCACCGGGTAAGTAATAGTGAAGTTAGACGCGTAGCATTAGGGAACGATGGTGAATCAATTGATGATGTTGTAAATCTTCATCGACTGAGATGGTTGGGCCACGTGTTACGTATGCCTGAAAACTGACCGGTGTTAGGGATGGTTGGAAGAAAGTTAGGGGCGGCCAAACCAAAACGTGGCATCAGTGTTGAAGTCACTAACTTGTAGTCTGCGCCATGTTAGTAGATGCAAACTACTTGGTTGGGGTCCGCGTGACTATCGTAACCAATGGTTGAAGACTCTTGGTGACATGGCTCAGAATCGATCACAATGGCGTCGGTGTATACACTCCCTGTCTTCCCTTAAACTAAGAGATTAAAATCGCTTCATATCTTTCTTTCTACTGACTAATTCTTTCTTCCTGTACTATATCCTTATATGCAATCTTTCTTTTATATATTACCACCTCTGAATTAACTACTTTTATGAATCTGGTGTCCATCCTGTTGTGTTAATGAGGTATGGCAACTTGGACCGATGCATATATGTGCCTGGTCCTATGTTGTAGCTGACTGACTGACTGAAACTCTCAAACAACACGCTCCAGAAGGACATTCAGGAGCGAATATGCGGATAGTTAGGAAATTTCAGCTAACATCAACATTGACTGCAAATACAAATTTACACTGATTTTTAATATAAACAAAAAATTCAAATAAAATGGATTGTTGTTTTATAATAGAGAAAATGTTAACAAGCTAGAAAATACACACTAACATTAGAACGGTGAGAAACACTTAACGCGTCACATTAACGAAATTTCACAGGGATGAAAAAACGATTATCGCAACGACGCTAAAAAGCAGACAAAATCAAACATGCTCTTGAGCATGGCCTTAATTCTTTGAGCCACTACAGTGTCAGTTGGTATGTCAATTCAAATTATTGTTTGTTGGTTTAAAGAAGTAAACTTTTTATGGTAGTGATCAACAATGAACGATTAGATTTTTTTAGTTCATAATGTAGAAAATAATGGCTGGTGAAAGTCCCTTGGTTTTCATAAAATAAATAAACAGGGAATGAAAGCAGTATAACATCATTAAGTATACATTTATGATGTAATTATTGAGCCCATTAAGCTAGGAAACCAAAATACTCTTTCACCACAAGGATCTAAATCATCAACCCATACAATACCTTCTTGCATTAAATGGCGAAAGGCAGCGTCTGTACGATCTTTAGTCCAATCAAATCTGAATGAAGATAAAAAAAAATTAGAGAGAGGTTACATTACACATGTATTAAAACGGTTATTTACTCAGCGTTGTGAACAATAATTAACGGTATCGTTAAAATGTATGGTAATTCGCAGTTTTTGCATCATACTAATTAAATGCCGACACATAAAAAATGATTTAACGCCAAAATGGTAATAAATTACTTAAAAACTCAAGTTATCTTAGTCGAATATATATTAAGTTGACTTCTTTTTCAAAAAGGGAACTAGCAAAAACAAAAAATAAATATCTTCCTCCGCCAACTGAATAATAACAATAAGATTATCGATCGAAGTAAAAAACTGATTGAAGATTGGATTCTATTACTGGGCGCCAACCCGGTGTTTCTAATAATTACGGGTTCTTTATGGACTTGGGATGTGAATACTTCCTGTTGAGGAGTCCCATTACAGGACTAAACAGCTGTCCAGTCCTCCTTGAGATTAAACTGTAACGAACATAACCTATAAATTAAAGTGATCCCCGCAAAATCCCTATAATCAAATTGATAATTCACTGTTACTTATAGTTGTGAAAGCATAGTAGTTCAAGATGAACACTGATCATAACTAGCTTAAAGCAGTAAGTTGGTTTTACAATCGGCCTATGATCATTAAAATAGATGATGATATATTATTATGAAGGAAACAAACAAATATTACTTAAAAATACAACAATAAAAAATACGCTATAAAATAAGAAGGATAAATCTAATTATTTACACACGATGGACTATATTTTAAAGAGGGTAACAGGATAAACAATATTTTACTTGCTGAAAAACAGACTGATGGTCAATTTTATTTAGACATGAATTCAAGAGAGAAAAAATTCGAAACAATATAAATTACATTCACCTGGTGTTGTTTGCTTCTATCTTCCCATTGTTGTTTAGGACTGCAACTGATCAGTCTCTTATTGGCATATGTACATCCTGTGTGGATTGCCTCGATGTTGCCTTAAGTCACGAGCTTTATAAACAAAGATGGGTAGTGGCTAGCAGCGGAATCCAGGACGCTCGTTTCGTCCTATTTGAGACTCGTCGGTCTGATGTACCTGCATCTCAGAGTTGATCTTCACTCCAGGACTCGAACATCAACTCTAAGATGCAGGCACATCCAGCTGACGAGTCCCAAATAGGATGAAACGCGCGCCTTGGATTCCACTGCTGGCCATCATCCATCTCTGAACATAAATTACAGTTGTAATTTATTGAAAATTCATTTCAAATGCATTTTAGTAAAACAATACCAATTGCTTTGTAGCCACGTATACATTGTTTTTATATCATTTAATTAAAGACACTTATTAGGTTTACGAAGTGATAACATAACTGATCTACCGGGTGAAAAGTGAACAGGTAGCATGATCGCTTCAAAAGTTTTACTCCCATTCAAAGTAAGCTAATTGTTTACGTTACATGCTGATGTTTAACTTCATAGATATTTCTTTTGAAGATACTAAGAGGTTTTCCCGTGATATTATATAAATATAATGTAATGAGAGGAACGAGTGTTATCAAATGAATAAAACACATCAAAATGGACGTGATAAACCATTAATAGAAATTACCAGAACGAAAAATTAGTAACTAGATACGCTGAAACGACGAAACAAGTTAAAAACAGGTAGATAGAAATAAAAAGTGGACAAATCTTCCAAAATTTGAAATGCTGGTACCCTGTAATTCGACGCATAACATATCATGGTTGTAAAAAGGTGACACTGATTTTTTGTCAGAGATTTGTCAGGTTGGATCGCAATGTTTTCAGTCTGCAGCTAGTTGACTATTTTGATGACTGTCTGTACGTCGATTTGCTGACTTATATAACTTGCTAATTATTATGTGGATGTTTCGTATAACTAATTTGAAACTAGTGACGTAAAAATTGACTTATCTTGAAAATAATTTCCTAGCCTCAGTGGGAATTCATTTTGTGTGTCCAGTCAGAAATAATTTCCTGAAAAATCTTTACCTATTGGACAATGATTCCGTTATATCTTAAATAAACTCAATTTAAAAATATGTACTATCGAATTCCCATTTAATTGTTTAAAGGTATCTTGTGCCCGTCCTGAGACCTGAAATTTATGGAGTTTGATATCGCAATTAGTATTTCCGGATTTCAATGGTTTTCTAGTTGATATCAGTTCTTGATTAAAGTGACTGAAAGACAATTGGACAAATTTCTGCAAACTACTGAAATAAAGTACAGCTTATGATTAAAAGTAAACAAAATCCCTAGTGAACAATGAAGCCCAAAGTAGATCCAGAATTATGATCAACTATATAAACTTATGTATCAATCGTTAGGTCTGTCACTAAAAATATTTCAAAATTCATTTTTTAGTTGAACCTAACTGAACAATTTTCCCGGATTGAATAGGTCGTTTGTATCCACATAAAAAGTACAGACATAAATTACTGAAAATGGAAGCCGAAATAAAATGTTTCTATTCACAAATCACACACTAACTTATCTATTACGGCTGATGCTGTTACATGACTATCAGAACTTTCTGCGAGCCCCAACACCAAAGTTTGATCCATATTCATTTCACCTGGAACCGACTGGACCAATAACCGACCACCAGATAGACTAATGAGACTGAACCCTGTTCCTAGACAACGCAGTTTTCTGATAGACCTTTTTACGTCATCAGCACTAACTTCAGACTCATATCGTGTTCTGTTTTTGTTTAACAGAGATACCAATTCATGCAGAGGTATAATGCCTCCAGTGTGTTTTTGGTTAGCCATGCATACCTGTGGATAAAATTGTAAAGGAAATTGAGCTTAAGAACAATATGAACATAAAACAACATGTAAAAGATTTTGTACAAAGTAAAGTATAATGAAGACTACGTGATAGTCTGCACCGTGATGAATAGCTACAGATATTGACGAAAAAAATATTAACATTACACAACCAAATTATTTATTTGAACACGTACACATTGATACAAGGAGGCACCAAATACGTATGCGCCACACAAATCACTCGATTTGTGTGAGGGCTGAAATACTGCCCGAGTGCCCAACCGAGTCATAAACTAATAAATATTTTTCGAAGACTTCCCCGTACATACAGAATAATACAGGACGGCACAACACAGCCTACAACATAAATTGCAGAACCCTGATTCCGAACTAACGGTGCATACGGGCTCCAGGATCCTGAGGGAACACATCGCATATGAATCTAGTGTATTACTTAACGTTGCTCCAGTGCTTTGTGGATTAGACCTCTAAGTAAAATGGTCGGAAAGTGGCTCTCTAAGAAAACCACCTGCTTTAGTTTTGGCACCCAGGCAGTATCACAGCCTGCAAACAAACTAAATGATAACCACAGGTAGAAAAGCTGTTCACGTTATAATTCTCGTTCTCGCAAGTCACACTCAAAACTATTATTACTCATTTTTATTTCGCATTACGTCGCTTGTTCATATATTTTATTCCAATTTTGTGCATCTCTATTCTTCAACTCATACAGCAGATAGTAAATGGTGGCGATCCTATCCTATCTAAACGATCTTAAGTCAATGATTGGTTGAAAGTTGAATGATACCACTAAACACGAATTCTCAACCAGTCTTTCTGAAACCACGTATGTCATTCAAACTAGCCTCATTCACCTTTCGCATACTAAAGCAGATCGGACAACAAATAGAGTTGGCTGTCTTTAGAAATTCTCAGCATCGATGTCTGTTGTCTACCCGAGACCCATATTCAGGACCCTAGTAAAGTACTACAAATTCGCTCTCTATCTGTCGCTTCAAAAAACTTGTTTCACGTGCGTTTATTCGTGGACCCTGTTGCGCTAGAGCCGAGGCAGTACTAATTAATTGAATCCCCATGACCAGTTGATTATGTGCAGTCAGATTGAAAGATCCCATCAAAGTGAGAAATCGGTGTGAGGAACGATGTTTTTTCGTCATCGTTCAATCCTAAACAGATTGCAGCCCCCGATGCGATGAAGGATGAGTCCTACCACCGGTTAAGTGTTCTTCTACAGAAAGTGTGTTCGACCTCCTTGGTTGAGGTCACAGAGATAGTGCAATACAGTGGCTTGATACGTTATTGACAATGGCTCAGGACAGAAACCAGTGTGGTTTTGCTGTAACCTTCTTCACTTTCTTCATATAAGTGAAATGAACTTCTTTAACTGAAAGAATCCTTTTAGCTCGTATTTTTCTGAACTGAACTGCTTCGTCCATTACTATTAATATTATTATTTCACTCTCATAAACAAATTTCTATCCATTGTTCTTTTTTATTATACTTGCTTTTCTTTCATTGTCTTTTCATAAGCCGGTCTTTATTGTGTGGGGCATATATATTTTGGTGCCCCTTTGTACCAATGTTTGTGTTCAAATAAAAAATAGAAAATAAACTCTTCATCTTTGTAGCAACAAGTACAAACTGTTAACTATATAATGCATCATTCACATCTATGGACGTGAAGATCTATTGTGGATGTACGTGAGACATCGAAAACGATAAAATTTTGAATCTGAGAAACCATAAGAATGATGATGAATTGCTAAATGCTTGGAGCTCAGGCGAACCGGTGACTCATATGAATAGTGGCATTAACCTATAGTACTAGAAGACGGAGAAACCATTTTATGGATAACTACATCCAATTTATTGGAACAAATTCATCAGTCCTTGGTGAGATCCTAAAGGCTCGATTTTCCTTTGAACTATGGTAATAATGAAGACACTATTTTATTAAGAAAATGTAATCTCGATATTGTCATATCAGAAATAAAACAAAATTGGATATCAGGTAGTAAAAAATATTTGGTTATTATTAATTGTAAGGTCGGTAATTAGGTGAAAACTTTAGTGATTTATTAACTCACCTCAATAATTTTCACACCTAGATGGTAGTAAAATTCCCCCAAACCTAATGCTTCTGACCAACACCCACGACTGTATGCTATAGGGTCAACACCAATACTACTACACATTGCTTGAAATTGTGAACGTAACTGTGGATCCTCTTTAATCTTGTTCCCGTGTTTGCTCGCAAATAATTCAAGCGACTGACGAACTTGTTCAAACTGTCGTGATAGTGTTGTTATCTGATTTCCTGCTAACTCATCACTTTTTTCTTTGTACTTCGACTGAGCAAGCGATTTGCTTTTAATTGATGCAATCCCAGCCTTTCTATACATTATAGAATCCGTCCACAGAGACAATAACACGTATTTTGACGGAACAGATGAGCAGAATAACTGAACTAACAAGATATCATTGTAACCAATATAAATCGTGAAAGACCCTGAAAACATGTGGGAAGAAAATTAACATTTAGATACTGTAATAAAGAATTAAAACACAGTAATTACGTAGTATGGCGATTTCTTCTAACAAATAATGCATAAACCAGTCTTAAAAAACACCACCAACAATAAGTGAAATATGTGATTAGCAGGGAGAGCTATTTTTGTTAACCGTTAGTTGAGATGACGTTTATTACTGTAATAACCTTTATTTCTCATTTTACTTTGAATTAAATATTTGGACCCAAATTTATTTGTTTCATTAATTTAATAGATCACTACTATATTATAAACTAAGTAGCCGACGGTATCTTTCGTTAACAAAACATTTAATAAGGTCAAGTTACTATTTGATTTATTTTCTGGTTTATCTACTCAAAGTAGTAAGAATTCACAGTCAATTCTACTTGGTTTTACATTTCGAACGATAAGATACTACACTCGAAAGATAAGTATGCGTATATACTACACGCTAACAACTTTGAAACGGAAATTCGAATTGTCTTTTTCTTTGATGAAATGTGCATCTTATGAAACTAATTGTTCATATATTCAGTATCCTCAGACCTAAAAAACAAAACATAGAGTGCAATAGCATTTCTATATCATACTTAGCACCCTCTAAAACTGCAAGAAACAGAACACATTTTGCTATGTTCATTTCATCTCCACATTGTTGACATGATTATTACCTAAATGTATCAAATGTAAGAGTAACATGAGGAAGTGTGTAGTCACATTGACTGGTAGACTTTTAAAAGGGCTCCCATTGAAATTCTGGTTAATCCGGCTACGATTATGAAAAGTTTCAGTCGATTCCCATGTCTACAAGAAGTTATTATTATCAGTATGAGGGTCACTTCGACAGTCTATCTATGGAAATAAGTGCGTGTTTTTTTAAGATAACCGAGGGAACATAGATTTAGTACTATAAATCCAAATCGAGAAAATCTAGCTTGAAAAATAGCTTATTATATAAATCTAACCATCACGTGCAAAAGGAACAGGTTTATCCAAATAACGAAATATTTGTGTGGACATCCCGTTTTGTTTTACACTTCAAGTAACTTTTTATAACTAAGTTCAAATGTAAAGGTGAGTGAGAATGAAACAAACCGTTTCAATTAATATATAATGTAAGCAAACTTTCACATAGCTATTTATATCTAGTAGCATCGGGACATTTTAGTGTTGCTAAGTAGATGAAGATATCTAGCAAGTTTATCGAACTGATATTCTTAGTAAATATATTGTATTATGAAGTTGTGATGTCTCTTCTGCACTCAAACACTCTAAGTATCGTAATACTATGGCGAGAAAAACGTCAACTATGATCGTCAGTTATAGTCAACATGCTAATTTTCCCCTAAGTGCCAAACGCGTTAACCCTGATATATTTTACTGTAGTACAACTTTGACTTCTTTTAACCAGAATCCACTGGTTGTGAGCAGTACTATACAACAAAGTGCTTTGAGACAAATGTAACTCGTTTACCAGGCACATGTTCACGTGCTGGGTTTCGGTCCACCCACTTTACGTTAAGACTAATGATTTTATCGAAATGCCAAGACGTCAACAAGAGAGTTGGATTTCGTAAATGTAGTCAAATGACCAAAACTCAGGCGTAAAAATCATTAAGCCGTCTGTTTAAAAATAGGTCGATATACAAATAATCAGTTATTTATTTTTCGCTCTAGAATGACTTATAGACTTGTAGTGATTTAAATGGCTTTAATCACTTTATAAAGACTCTTTCGAAATGTATTTTGTAAGTAAAGGTACAGCTTGAATAAATTTCTTGTTTCATTATAAAGGCTGGACTTTTAGCAGCCATCCGACGAGGTGGAATTAAGAGGCAGGACCTATTTGACCTGGTGTTGGGGTATGAAAGAAATCTACAAAGGGCTGGCTTCTGTTGGTCCGAGAGATGGTGCGACACAGTGGCTAGAGACGTTATCAGATATGGCTCAGAATAGAAGCCAGTGGCGATTCTGCTGTAACCTTCTTTTTCTTTCTTCGTAAAAAACGGTTGCTTCTTCCTTAACTGAAAGATCTCTTCTGATTGTACGTTTCTGTTTCCCCCATTATTATTATTGCACTACCTTACACTAACTTGTTCGCTAATTTTCTTTTTTTCTTTTACGCTCCTTACCTTTTTTCCTTCTCCTCTTCAAATTCTAATTGTTTCGTGTGGCGCATATATATTTGGTGCCTTCTTGTACCAATATTTGTGTTCAAATAAATAAATAAATTTTCAAATTGCAATATTCCTGTGAATTGATATCGGCCCAGTAAACTACGAAACATCATATTGATAATCTATTAATTGACATTACTTATATAAATTCTAATATCCTGTTTGAATTTTTTAGAATTTAATGAACGCTACCATGAATTCCAATCGACAACTCATCTGATGTTCTTACCCAATCACTACTAAATACTGGGTTGAAACTTTTATCAAATGTTGTGCACATCTTCCAGTGTGACTAATCTAAATTACAAAATATCTTGTCAGCCTTTTGGTTAGGACGGTAACCTAAGGATATACTTACAATGTCGTATATAAAGAGTATTTAGAAATTAAGACTAATTTGATTATATTAATGTAATGTTGTTGCCATTAATTTATTCTTCTTAGAGAGAAGTTCCGTTCAAATTTATGAAGTTTTCGATTGTATCACAATTGAATAAGTATGGAAGGCGTTTTTATGAGGTTACTTCGAGGAAGAGCTGAAAAGTTCAGAGGGAAACAATGGAAAAGCAGTGTCTTTAGAGGGAAAGTTGTGGAGTATTGGGTTTCACCAAAAGTGTATTTACTGGGGAAGGACTCGGTATTTGAGGAAAAACTCCCTGGACACCCCCCCCCTCGTTTTTCTTCGAGTTAGTTAATTTCTCCCTAAATTTGGTAGTGTTAGACTAATATACGTTACTTGGTCCCTTAACCTCGGAAGGCTTAAACTGGAGCTGAAAAGCTTAGAAATCTTTGAATACCTCGGGTAAATTGGGAACATTTTGGTTTGTTGGTGATAGAGAGAAAGAATTAACATAAGGGTCTCCTGGAAACCAGTACACAGTGGGTTATCCCGAGGAGAAAAACTAAGTCCATCTTTATTTATTCTTTGTATCAACCAAGTTTCAAGTGTCATCAAATCTCCTACGCTTCTTCAAGCTGATAGAATCAAAGCGTGCCCAGAAATGGCACGTAGTGGAAATGTATGTACACTCCATGGCGACCTTAACGTCATGCTGGGCTGGTGGTCTAGGTTGTGGTTAATGACTATTGGTGGAGATAACTGTTATCATACATGTAGAGCTAACAAACATGTTGGAGAAGTACCCCTACTCATATTTGCACCTTAAAATGATCTAAGAGACCATGATCTAAAGATCAGAGCTTACTGTTATTCAGTTGTAATTGAAGGGTTTAGTGCTGTTTGACTTAAGACAGATCTGCACCAAGTTAGGTAAAAATATATTGGCCAAGGTCTGCACAACCTTGGTGAAGTAGAAATATGTACAAGCTACAAGTCTTCGTAAAAGGTCACTCATCTCGTGGAAAAGTACGCTGTTCGAGCAATTCCGGGCGTCTAGATTTCTTTGCGACGACCATCATAAAATGTTTGACTCTTTAATGCTAACTTAACGTAAATTGAAAGGAAAACCAATTATGGTGCATGAGATACTGAGAAATAAATTTGGACTTAATTTATCCCCTTTTACCCCATTTAGGTCAAGAAAACCTAAAGAACACGAAGTGGTATATTGAGAATAATTCCCATTTAAACATTAAAATTAAAACACGAATTTCAGCGAAGGGATCTCTTTTCAACGAATTTATTATCAAGCTGTACAATCGTATATATATTAAAATTTTGTTTTTGTAAAAGTACTAATTCCGTGAGGAAATGTGAACACAGTTAATATAAAGGTTATAATACTAGATTACGTAATATGAATAATAACAATAACAATAGATTTAGTGATTATAATAAGATGATTAAAATGTTTTTGATATAATAATTAAAGGTCATAGAGGTGTACAAAAATAAACTGATATGATGAGCGTTCATGAATAAAACAATGAGAATATAAGACATAAGTAAAGGGGGAATGCAGTAATAATAATAACAATAATAATAATAATAATAACATTAATGGTAGGATAATCAAACTAATTAAGGCCAAGGTAACGATAACGATAAGACGTACTTCTTTTGTACGCATAGTTCTGGTTTAAGCTCCTGGATGGCAAGAGCTTCGGCTATTTTTAAAAGTTGTATACGAAGAAATCTGGGTAGATTTGAACGAATCATATAAACAACCTTAAAATCAATTTGTGGATCTGTTGAATGGTTATAGTCAATTAGGTGTTCAAGAATAGAACTCCTAACTGCTTTCCTTTCACCCTTATAGAACCAGGCTGGGATATGTTCTCGTATCCGAGTTGAAAGCGAGCGCTGGCTACGGCCAATGTACCTTGCTCCACAAGAGCAGGTGAACTGGCAGATGCACATGGAGGCGACCAGACGCGGAAGCTTATCTTTTATGGGTACAGAAAATAAGTTTCTACTAGTGAAGGATATTCGCAGTTTTGCCACGTTAAATGTTCTCCTAATAGTTGTTGTTAGACGGTTTTTAATTACGTCCGATGTTCGGTCACCTTTAAATTCCAGACTTATATAAAGGTTTTTCTTTGGAACGGAACAACTAGAATTCTTCTCGCGACTACTTTTATTCATATTCTTTTCTATGAACCGTTCTGGGTAACCATTTTCCGTCAAAGTCTTCTTCAGGAATGCGAGTTCTTATTATATTCACCAAATCCATTGTTATTGTTATTATTCATATTACGTAATCTAGTATTATAACCTTTATATTAACTGTGTTCACATTTCCTCACGGAATTAGTACTTTTACAAAAACAAAATTTTAATATATATACGATTGTACAGCTTGATAATAAATTCGTTGAAAAGAGATCCCTTCGCTGAAATTCGTGTTTTAATTTTAATATTGAGAATAATAAACTTCCTGTTACATGCAGGTTATGCCACTGACCAATTAAAGTTGAGAACCAACTGTCAGAAGTGATATCTGAGTGTCCAATCCACTTATTTAGGGGACTAGATACACACAGAGGTGTAATAAAAAACTTAGAGCCAAGGTCTCTTATATAGTCATTTTAAAGTATAAACTTGGATCTGAATGGTCTATTTATGCAAGCTATATACATGAAATAGGAATACTGAGATAACTTGTCCGATTGGTCACATCAAATGGTATCACTGTATAATACCGGTGTCGTGTACGTTTGGGTTAAGCTTGGCAATACCATAGAGCGAACATGCGGACTCCACTGATTCAGTTTTCAGTAATAAGGATAGTAGGTTGGTGAACCTGTATTAATCCTGACACATTGCTTTCCAGTGAAGGTCCAGCTTCTCCTTGAAAGTATTCACTGATGGGGCTGATACCACTCGTTCGGGTAAGGCGTTCCAATGATTGACTACTCGATGAGAAAAACGGGACCCCACTTTAAGTTTATGAGATCGCGGTTTATGAACCTTCTTGCTATGACCTCGGAGATAATTAGTGCTGGGGGGAGCAAAAAGATAAGACATATTAACACCCAAATCAAAATTAAAGATACGAAATGCCAGTATAAGGTCACCTCGTGTCCTACGATACGACAAGGGGAAAAGATTTAGGCGTTTTAAACGCTCATCGTAAGGGAGTCTAGGAAGACCCTTCACTAATTTTGTTCCCACACGCTGGACACGCTCAAGGGAGTTAGTATCCTTTACTAGACACGGGCTAGCTGCTTGGATACAGTACTCTAAATGTGGTCTTACATATATGGGATATAAAATTCTAAACGTTTCCTCGTCAAAAGATTTGAACGCTCGGCGAAGTGACCATAACGCACGAAAACCTTTGACAGCGGCTGCTTTGCAATGCGTAGTTGTTTTTAAATCATGACTTAATATTACTCCTAAGTCCTTATGCTCTTGAACGCATGGAAGAGGTTTACCCTCAATAGTGTAACAGTAACTATTACCGTGACCGATGTGCATTAGTACACTCTTCCTAGCATTGATTTCTAAGCCCCAACCTCGAGCCCATCTAACTAAATCGTCTAAGTCAGCTTGAAGATCCACATGATCAGCCGCACTTTTTATTGTTCTCCAGATTTTTACGTCATCCGCAAACAATAATGTCGACGACCTAAGTAGCAGCGGTAACTCATTAACGTAGAGAAGGAAGAGCAGTGGGCCGAAGATGGTGCCTTGGGGTACACCACTTTTGACCGGCTTCCAATCGGATAGCGTTCCATTGACCCTAACTCTCTGTCTGCGGTCACATAAGAAATTTCCTATCCACTCATGTACAGTACATATTATTCCGAAGCTCGTGAACTTCTGCATAAGACCTACGTGTGAAACCTTGTCAAATACTTTGCTAAAATCTGTGAATATCACATCGACAGACAGACCGTTATCAAGGGCTGCTGTCCAATCCTCCGTCGCAATAAGCAAGTTAGTCAAGCATGAACGCTTGTTGCGAAATCCGTGTTGCTCAGGAGCTAACAGATTGTGTAAATCTATGTGGCTTAGCAACCTAACCCGAATGATCTTTTCAAGTAACTTAACGACTATGCTAGTTAGACTGACAGGCCGGTAGTTAGATACTATCTGTCTCTGACCGTCCTTAAATATAGGACTGACTATAGCGTCCTTCCAATCTCTAGGGAGTTGAGCGAGCGAAATGGACATGTTGAAGATTGTCGCGAGCGGTTTTGAAATAATGTCCGCAAGAGATGACAGCAACCGTGGATGTAACCCGTCAGGGCCCGGTATCTTGCCAAGTTCGAGGTTAGTTATCAACGGAAGGACAGTTTCCTTAGTCACCTGTACAGATTCAATGGTTGGTATCTCGGTGTGAGTGGAACATGTATTTGTTACAATAAACGTAGAGAAGACTTCGCTAAAATAGTTTGAAAAAGTCTCAGCTTTTGCTCGATCTGATTCAGCTAGTAATTCTGAATCTTCGTGTAACAGTAACGGGAAAATACCATCACTACGCTTCATTCGCCGTTTAACATACGAAAACAATCGCTTCGGACAAGTACGGCTATCATATACTAACTGTCGTTCATAAGTGGTACGGGATTTGGCTATGGTTTTCTTACAGATATTACGGAATTTCTGGTACTCACGCTTAAATGGTTCATGACCTGTCAACAAGAATAAGTCCCAGAAATGTTTCCTACGCTTTAACAGCTTCCGGGTTTCCTTTTTAATCCATGGAGGGCAATGTGATAGCTTACGTGCTGACCATGGGATAAACGGCGACGTTACGGACTCGAATGTAGCCTTAAACTTATTCCATTCATCTTCGATCAATCCATCCGCGTCGAACGACCAATCAGTCGAGATAGCAGTTTCTGATAGCCGGAATATTGGCTCGCCAGATATTGGGACGGGTGGAGCAGATACGAACTGTATACCATGTGTCCTAAACTTAAAGTGAATTACAACGTGATCACTGCTCACAAGTGGGGGATGGTGCCGAATATCAAAGACATCCTCACAGTGGTGGGTGAGGGCGAGGTCCAGCAGTGACGGATCATGATTGAAATCAATGTGTCGGTTTTGTGATACATTGTACTAGCGCACACTGAATAACGGTAGATAAAAGGTCGCTATCGAAACCACTACCTGGAGCTGTAAGCTCTATCCAGTTGATATGCGGTGCGTTGGAGTCCCCAATGATGAGACAACATTCTGTCATACTCCAAGAACAGATGTGTCTTAGGATAAAGTCGTCAGCAAGACAAAACGGACTACGGTATATTCCCCCTATAGTCATTAACCCATTTCTAGATTTAATCTTACAACATGCAACCTCACATGTACCACTGGTATGAGCCTCCGATATGGTAGATTGTATACGAAAGTGATCCCTAACGTATAATATAATACCTCCCCCTTTGCGACTTGAAACTCTATCACTTCTAATACAGATATAGCCTGCAATGAAAGGAGAACAGTCTATATCTAGGGTGAACCAAGTTTCTGTAACAACGATTATATCGGGACATAATTCTTCCACCATCAGACATAGCTCGGATTATAGCCATACAGAAAACAGCGAGTGTACATCAAAATGACCTCTGGCAGAGAATGAAAGGACTAATCCTAGACAGTAAAGTTATTGTATATATTGACTTCATATGAGTAGGGAACTTAAGGTTAGTTGTAGGTTCCTTGCTCTTAAACCCTGAACCTAACATCTTGACATTCACACCCGGACTACAAATTAACCGAACACTAACAAAAGAACATGAATTAATTGGCAAGACTAACTAACCGACGACGGCAACGCTTCAGGGGTATCATACACAGAGGGAGGTTGCGTGGACTTTCAGTCTCAGTTTCAGTTTGGAAAGGACAGGAGGCTTGATGGCCTGTGTTAGTCCTGGCAATGGTGGTCTCTCAGTTGATCCAACTTTCTTTTGAAAGAGTCGACAGATGGAGCCTCAACCACGTGCTGAGGTAGTGAATTCCACTCGTCGATGATTCGATGAGAAAGTCGATAGTCAGCTGACAAGCGATTTGTTCTGGGCTTGTGAACTTTTTGGAGTGTCCTCGTAAATTGAAGGTCAAACTGTCGCAAGATGATTGGTGCGTCACGACGACGATTCGTGAAGTTTTGCAGAAGTGGTCAAATCAGGACACATTTAGATTTGAACTCATTTCAGCCACACTATTTCTGATAACGTCCATCGTTCAAGTAACGAAGACGATACTGTAGCGGTAAATAAATCCCTAAAATAAATAGCTCTGTAAGTTTTCGACATTGGATGCTGACCATATGTTTTAGTGGACTCATCTAGCTGAAGGCGCTCGGTCAGGCATCCGCACCAGATCACGTGTAGTAACGCCGTGCTCAACATCAACCACAATCGCTAGCCAGATTAGATCAGAGAATCCCGGTATATTGGTCATCGCCAAATATACTCTTCCGATCTCCTCGACTCTGTCTTTTGATTTCTCTTGGTGGGAACGAAATATCTTAGAAGGTGTTACTGGTAGAAGCGTTGTCAAACACTGAATACCTGTGACATCATCATTGGTGAGACCGTCGTGATCTGGTACACCTTATTGCAACTGTGAGTCTGTTCCTTTTTGGGATTTTTATATATCATTGCCTTATTTTTTATTTTTTTTAAACATTGTGATTTTTTTTCGTGTTTTTCTTGGATATATATATATATTTTCCCCTCGTTCATTATCGTACTTCATATTTCATCATGACTGAACAGACACCTAAAGTACTCAAGCTTAAGACCTTGTCCCCACCTTCGTTTCAACTGATGCCTTTCTGGCCCGACAACATCGAAGCCTGGTTTTGCTACGCAGAAGCCGACTTTTCCGAGCACGGCGTGATCGACACACGTGCACAATTCCTCGCAGTAGTCAAGGCACTGCCGCGGGAATTCAACAGGTACGTAACACCTAGTATGTTTACTAGTGATGTTTCCGATCCTTACGAAATCTTAAAACGCTCGATTCTTAAACGAGGAGACCTAACCGATCGACAAAGGTTAGATCAACTCTTCAACAATATCGACCTGCAACACGGTTCTGCGACGGACATGTTGCAACGGATGAGAGAGGTTATAGGCCCAAGAACTTTCGACGAAGGTCTATTCAAACAACTCTTCTTGTCAAAACTTCCCCAACAGGTGCAAGCAGTTCTGGTCTCGTTCCAGAACAACGCCTTAGACGAACTAGCTGTATCTGCCGACCGCATTCTAGAAATTACGAAACCTTCTACTACCGAGGTATTTTCAGTCAAAGAAAAGCCTCACACGACTCAGAATGACATAACCGACTTATGTCACACACTCACGCGTTATCTTAGTCTTCGTACCGACCGTAAGAGATCGCGCACACCACGTAGAAGCATTTCTCGTAAGCGATCTGTCTCTAGACCACGAGAGACAGATAACCCCGACTGGTGCTGGTATCATAACCAGTATGGAAAGTTTTCCAGAAATTGCAGAAAACCCTGCAATTTTCCCAACACGAAACCGACTGATTCGGGAAACTTCCAAGCCGGCACGCGTTAACGGCAACCGTAGCCGGCGAACAAAGCCGTCTGTTATTCGTCACAGATGTGACAACGAGAGTTCGCTACCTCGTCGACACTGGCGCAGAAGTTAGCGTTCTCCCAGCAAATCCTAACGACCGACTTCACGAATCGACCCTAAACTTACAGGCGGCAAACGGAAAACCGATCGCTACGTATGGCAAAAGGTACGTTTACCTTAACGTGGGTTTACGCAAACCCATCCACTGGATTTTCGTCGTTGCAGATGTTTCTATGCCAATCATTGGTATGGACCTTCTACAACACCACAATCTGATCATCGACACTCGCAAACGGAGGCTAGTAGACGGAAACACTAATTTGTCCGTTTGCGTAACTTCTTTTACTGGTTGTAGAGTATCCCCAGTCACAGTTAAACATATGATAGACCCACTCTATCAACCACTACTCGATAAGTACCCTGGGATACAACAAACGCAAACGAAACTACCGTGTGTAACCAGCAATGTTACACATCACATCACGACTACAGGACCACCTGTATTTTCTAAAGCACGACGACTAGCTCCTGAAAAGCTAAGGTTAGCGAAAAACGAATTCGATCACATGATGGACTTAGGAATCATACGACCGTCAAGTAGCCCATATGCATCTCCGTTGCACATGGTCCCTAAAAAGGACAGCAACGATTGGCGTCCAACTGGTGACTATCGGCGATTGAACGCGAAAACCATTCCCGATCGTTACCCGTTGCCTCACATTCACGATTTGACAGCTACCTTGAAAGGTACAACTGTCTTTTCGAAAATCGACTTGGTTAAAGCGTATAACCAAATCCCTATGGCCACTGACGACATACCGAAAACGGCTATCATAACTCCCTTCGGACTCTATGAATTTTTGCGAATGCCTTTCGGTCTAAGGAATGCTGCTCAAACATTCCAAAGATTCATAGACGACGTTTTTCGAGGTCTCAACTTCGTACACGCGTATGTTGACGACTGTCTAATCGCAAGTCCGGACAGAGAAACACATCTCAAGCATCTGGACCTTGTTTTCGAACGATTACAAAAACATGGCATAACTGTAAACGTTCAGAAATGCCAATTTGGAACCGACTCGTTAGACTTTCTGGGACACACTATCGATGCTCAAGGTATCCGACCCCTTAGAACCAAAGTGGCGGCCATTCTGGATTACCCAGAACCGACCACCGTCAAGCAATTACGCACGTTCAACGGCCTGGTAAGTTTCTATAGACGTTTCATACCCAGATGCGCATCACTTATGAAACCTCTGACCGACCAACTTCGTGGAAATGCGAAATCCATTAATTTGGACGACACCGCACGAAAAGCATTCTCCACAGTCAAGGAACTGATTGCTAAAGCAACAATGCTCGCACATCAGGACACCCGAGCACCCATTAGCATCGCAGTAGACGCATCCGACTCAGCAATCGGAGGAGTCTTACAACAATGGGTTAACAACTCCTGGCAACCCTTGGCATTTTTCTCTAGAAGGTTGCTAGACACCGAATCGAGGTACAGCACATTCGGTAGGGAACTCCTAGCTATGTATTGTGCTGTACGGCATTTCCAACACTATATCGAAGGCCGTGAATTCACTCTTTTCACGGACCATAAACCGCTCACTTTCTCGTTAAGCTCTCCTTCTGACAAGTACTCTCCCCGTGAGTCTCGACAACTGGACTACATTTCGCAGTTTACTTCAGATATTCAACACATCTCTGGAGCAAACAATGTAGTTGCAGACGCTTTATCTCGTATAACTTCCTTGAACAGTTTCCAAGGAATCGACCTTCTTAAACTCGCCGAGCTTCAAAAAGAAGACAGTGATCTTCAGCACGAGTTATCGTCCACAACACTTAAACTACGCATCAAACAGATGGGAACAGGTAAGGAAACCTTACTTTGTGACACATCTACAGGTAGGGATCGCCCAATCGTGCCGAAACATTATCGACGCAATGTCTTCAACACATTGCACAAACTTTCTCATCCAGGTGTTCGTGCAACCATCAAGCTTATAGCAGAACGATTTTGCTGGCCTGGCATGAATAAAGACGTGAGGGAGTGGGCACGCTCCTGTGTAAGCTGCCAAAAATCTAAGGTTATCAGACACAATAAATGTCCCTTAGGCTCGTTTAAAACTCCCGATGCTCGTTTCGACCATGTTCATCTGGATTTGGTAGGACCTTTACCAGATTCAAATGGATACTCTTATCTCTTAACCTGCGTAGACCGTTTCACTCGATGGCCAGAAGCAGTACCTATCAAGGACAGCACTGCTGAAACAGTGGCCCGCACATTCGTCGAACGATGGGTAGCAAACTTCGGTTGCCCTTCAACCATCACTACAGACCGCGGACGTCAGTTTGAATCTGATCTTTTCCGTCGTCTGACCACACTTTTAGGAATCACTCGCTTCCGAACGACCGCCTACCATCCCCAAGCAAACGGGTTGGTAGAACGTTTTCACCGACAACTGAAAGCTTCGCTATCAGCTGCAAACGTTTCACAATGGACCGACGCTCTTCCACTCGTCTTACTAGGTATCCGCAATGCAGTGAAAGCTGACATTGGATACACTGCGGCTCAACTCGTTTATGGAACGACACTTCGACTTCCAGGAGAATTCGTGGATCCTTCGTGCTCTTCGATGAACATGGATCTAACCTCCTACACGAACAGGCTTACAAACGCAATGCGTTCAGTTAAACCTGCTTCCACTCGACCTCAATCAACTGATGTTTTCGTTCAACCTGACTTACCATATAGTACACACGTTTTCATTCGTCGAGACTCGCATCGACGACCATTCGAATCAGCATACGAAGGACCCTTCAAAGTTCTTCAACGTGAATCTAAGTACTATATAGTCGATAAGAACGGAACCAACGATAGCATCAGCATCGATCGCTTAAAAGCAGCGTATTTAGAAGGAAATCCTATCCACGTCGATTTTCCTTCGGTACAATCGAACGACACGACTCAGACACTAATAATACCTCATCCGACAACCAACACACACGAAGATACTTCGACAGTATCCGAAAATAAACTTAAAACGACGCGTTCTGGAAGAAGGGTGAGATTTCCAGAACATTTAAACGACTATTGCACGTAAGGCACTTCTCGACATTTTATATTATTTTTTTTTTAAAAAAAAAACAATTTTAATATGCTTATATATTTTTATTTCTATTAAAAAAAACAAAACAAAAAAAACAATTTTTTAACGCTATTACGTGCTCATGAGTTTATTTTCCATTTTTTTTCCGCCGACCTTGTTTTTTTACGCATATACGAGTGTATTTCGACATGCACTTACATTTTCTTTTTTCTTTTCCAGGACGGCTGGAAAAGAACGATGACGTTTATGAGGATCCGAAATTTTCATTGTACATTTTCTTTTTTTTACTATGTTGTACCTCCGTCCCATATAGTAAGGAAAGACGACCAGACGCTGCTAAATTTAGTAAGCTATCAGAAGAGTGTTTACCAACGACAAACTCGTTGGGTTTAAACTTCTGGCTGGCCACGTCTTAGGGTCGTCACTGCCCCACTAGGGGGGGAGTGATCTGTAGCGGTAAATAAATCCCTAAAATAAATAGCTCTGTAAGTTTTCGACATTGGATGCTGACCATATGTT